TTGATATTTTTTATAAGGTTTCTTGTAGAGTTTCTTATATACTTTTTCTTATTTCCTAATTATTTTGTTTTTTCTTGTACTAGGAGCCCTAATAGGTTCCATCCCATATTGTTGATAGAAAGTACCTATCTCTCTCTTGTTTATCATGCTTTATTTTCTTAATTTATTTTGTAGTTTAAAATCTATGCATACTTGTATTCCAGTTTCTACTATTATGTTATGTATTTGTCCATAAGTTAGTGTATCATATATTGATGGCTTACTATAATGTCTTTCTAAATTTATTTTTACTTTTCTACGAATAATTTAGGTAATCCTGCTAAGAATCTTTCCATCTATAATCGGACATAGTTGGACAATATAAGTTAGTTATTTGACTTGTCGATCTTTCTTTAAAAACATTTGGATCTCCTACAAAGTTTTGAATTATGGAGTATATTAATGTTGATACTGCATCTTATTTATTTGTTTCTGGTTTTACGTTATTGATTACTGCTAATTTATCTTATTTTGTGTAAAAGTTATCCCACCAGCCTTTCAACTGACCAGTGAATCCTTACACAATAGCTATAGCGACAGACTTGTCGCTACAACCTTTTGTCTTATGGGCAATGACTGCCATTGTCATTTGACAAGTTAGGTCTAATATAGATTGTTCACTCATACCATCTAGATTCCATTATGTTATTTCATTTCTTGAGATGGAGTTTTGTACTAACTCTCCTCTTTCTTCAAATTGTATATCAGCTCCTGTTAGTCTAGGATAATAATTTCTAAGTTTTTGATACGATCTCAGTTTATTAATTTTTATAGTATTAATGGAAGCTTTGTTTATTTGATCTAGTTTTTTTTTTTAATTCTTCTATTTGTAGATCTGTATCACTTTTTAGTCTTAACTCTTCTAATTCATTTTGTGGTACATTAAATAATTTATATATTGGTTTTACATGTTCTTTTGAACTACTAGACTTATTTTGTTTATGTTTATTTTCTATTCTTGTTAATTGTTTTGACATAACATCTAATATGGGAATGTAATTTTTGAATGTCTTTTATTTGTACGGGTTTTTCCTCATTCTTAACATCTTTATAAGGGTTTGCCTATATTTCTAGATCTTTTGTAGGTTTTATTATAATCCCCTTTTGTGGAGGATATTCAACTACTATTAGTTCATTATTAATAATTTTCCAAGTATTAGATATCTTTTCTAATGGATACATAGATTTTTCTTGACAATAATTAAAGAACTAGTTGAAAAAATATAAATTTATTTTATGTTGTTCTAAATAATCATAGAAGTTTCTCCTAAACTCTTCTATTTGTTGTTTTGTAAAGGTTTTAAAATACCATTATCTATTTTCTTTATTATATTCTCGCTTTAAAGTCTTGCCTTATCCAATTTTTATCTATAATAAAGGTTGCTTCTCTTCCTACAATATTTAATATTTGTGAGGCAGTTGGTGAGTACCTAAGTGATTCTGATCCCCTTGACTCTTCATATACGAGTTTTGTTACTATGGGTGTGATGTTATTTAATCCTCTTATATCTAAGTTTATTGTTGACCGTTAACAGAATGTCGGGATGATTGTCCTTTATATATAATTTGAGGTTCTCTATTTTTAAGAGATGATGATCTATTCATTCTTAACCTAATATCAGTATCATCTTGAATTATTTATATGAATTGATATTATAAATTTTTTGTTCTTCTATAATATTTTTTAACTTCCATTCCTCATGAATTTTACTTATAACTTCTTCATGACTTAATCTTTTTAGTATTTGTACAGCTGATTTTCTGAGATTGACTTCTACTAATATTGTTTCATCTTTTGGAGAGGATCTTAAAGCTTTATAATTATAATCTATTCTTGTAACTTTATAATAAATCCTATATATCACTTGTATAGGTCCCGATGAGTCGTCTACCATTTCATATGGAATTTATACATATAATTTTATTACATCGCTTGTTTTATTATTTTTAATATTCATAGAAAAATTGGGATAACAATTAAAAAAGGCAGGGTCATCATGTAGGTTACTTTCTCATATTGCAATTATTGAGTCATTAAACTTTTTAAGTCTTATATTTCTCAATATCATGAGTATTGAACTGTTTACTCCTAATCTATAATTTGGTTTTGCAGCTACTTGTATTGATCCTAAATGAATAAAATTATATTCATCTTTAACATGTTGATCTAAGAGTGATTGTTCTAAAAACATTTATAATTTTATTGTTTTTTGTTCCAGGGTAGCTATATTCTACTATGTGTATTTCATCTTGATTTTTCGACCAGAATTTATATTGTTTATATACTTCACATTTTCTTACTATAGATATTGACTAGTTATGTAAAGAGTTTTCATTTTTAGCTATTTGTAATTCTTTATCTTTATTATCTGTTGAAGAAGAGGACAAAACCTCATGTTGCAGTGTTTTAATCATTATTTGTTTATTTTTGTTTCTTAATCTTAAATTGCTTAATGTCTTAAGGATATTTGGCATTCTTAACCTTTCTTTGGTTTCCATGCTACGGGACCACCTCTTTGGCTTCTTAGCCTATCTAGTTGACCAATGGTCTCACTACCCCTCCTGGTTTTATTGTCGGGACCACTAGATCTAAGGACTGACCAACGTATGAGCACCTCTCAGTGCTACACAAATACTATTGAAAGAGTTAAGAGGTCCAAATACCCTTTGAACTTAAAGATTTAAGGTCAAGATACAAATCTAAACTCTAATGGTTTAAACTAAGCAACAAAGTGACTTAGTTCCTTTAATTTTTGCTCTAAATGTTTAATATTGCTTTTATACCAGACTACACCCCAAGCATAGTTTGTTGGATTCTCTCTTAATAGTCTATCTTTTTTAGATATGCATCTTGCTAAAATTCTTTTGAGTTTTTTTATTTGTTTTATTAATTCTATTGCTGGATTGGGGCTGAAGCTAGGGCTCATACCTAGAGGTTGTAATGCTCTAACTACAAATCCTAAACTAGGAATTGTACTATCTTACAAACTCTTCTCTATTCATGATTATTATTACTCTATTCTCCCACAAGAAAACCAAATAGGTTCAAATCTTTGGAGCACTTGGCTCTGATACAAGTTAGTATTGTCAGAATTAAGAAGAATAAAAGACTTAAAAACTTGTAATTCAGTTATATGAATGATTTAGAACATTATATGAAGTCAAAAGTAGATAATTAAAGAGGATGCAATTAAAAACTTGAAATAATAATCAGAATTCGAGAAACTTTCAAGAGACATTTTGAAAACAAGACAAGAGTTTATTACAACGAGCAAAAAACGTTCTGCCTCTTTCGTTACAAAATTCACATATTTATAGATATATTAGAACATACTAGATCCTACACAGTTTACTATAATATCCTTATACAAATTTACAATTATGCTCTTCTTTTTGTCTGGCTTGCTTTATGTCTTTCTCATCTTTTGCTTTTTGAAAATTTGGCCAAATCTTATCTTCGAATCTATATTTTTTATCTTATCTCATTTTTTTTTTTAACTTTCTCTTTATCTTGTCTCTTATTGTCTTGTCTTGTCATCCCAAAAGATTCTCTTTAATCAAACATATTGAACGGGAGATTGAGTTCTTTTTCTCCAAAATCATTCCCTGAATTATTTGACGATGATGATAATGTCTTGATAAGTTTTTCCATTTATTTAATACTTATTGCACCAACTAATTCTACCATCAATCTTTATTTTTCTGTTAAAAATAATGACTCTTAAATAATTGATGATATGTCTTATCTTATCTTTTTTCATAACTTTATTGTCTTGATAAGTTTTTCTATTTATTTAATACTTATTGTACTAGCTAATTCTACCATCAATTTTTATTTTGCTGTTAAAAATAATGATTTTTGGATTATTAATGATAAGTCTTGTCTTATCTTTTTTAAGTCAGTTATGATTTTTTTTTATATATATATATATATATATATATATATATATATATATATAATAATCAGTGTCTTTATTAGTATAAAAATTTCGAAATATTTTTTAATTTTCTTGATGACTCCATGATAGTTTCTTCAGAGTTATCAAATATTTTTTTCTTTTATGTTATCTTTTATCTTAGTATACGTCGTTTCTGGAATTATGTAATCCAGTAATCACATAGTATGAAAGAAAATTGTGTATAAAGACGAAGAAAAATATAGATTTTGATCATATACTAAATATGCTTATTGTTTGTTATACGAGATATTGCATGAAAAAGAAGAGATAAAATGTTTTTTTTTTTAATGACAGTATGTACATATTTCTTATCCTCACAAGAAATATAATAATTATAACATTTGAATCTGTTTAGGCCCTGACTATTTTATTTTCTAAAAATATATTAATTAACAAATTTGTAAATATAATATATATCGCGGAGGTTTTTTTCTAAACAAATATTTTTATATCTTTTTTTTTAATATAACACGATTCTTATTTTTTTTCATGAATTTAATTTTCATGTTTAAAAAATTATATTTTAATATAATTTACATTATTAATAATTTAGTTTAAAGAATATTGAAATTTAATTAGGAAATAAAATTGAACATAATAGATTAAAATAAAAAAAAGATTAGTTACAATTTGTAAAAGATATAACGTTGAAAAAAAATATAATATAGGAGTAATTTGTAGAGATTCTATTATCGAAGATAATTTATTTGAAAATTCTCAATATCAATAACAGTGATCTTTTATCTTCAAGAAAATTATCTATCTAACTATTTACAAATATCTTATAATTTTTCTTAATTGGGAAGTCACCATTGGAGTGAATCCAAATGAACCAAACCTCCTCGACAAGTCACAGAGTTTAAAAGGCATCATCGTATAGTCTTCCAACAGTCTTGCTTTCTGTACCTCAGCTACCATCGAAATCTTTCTCTCTCTCACCCAACATCAATATCGTCCTCACAAAATCTAGACGGAGAGAGAAAAGGTTGAATTGAATTGAAGATGAAGATCACTGTCATGACCGCTGATGAGCAAATTCTCACGTTGGATGTGGATCCCCACGAATCTGTACTCATCAAAGATCCTTCTTTTGCTTTTTTCTTCATCTGTCTCTTTTCACATCATTGTTTTTCATTCCCTTTTCCTTTTGGGTAGGTGGAAAATGTCAAAGCATTGCTCGAGGTTGAGGTGAGTTTTATTCTCTTCTTCTCTCCGATATTCATCACTACCCCGTAAAAATTGTTTTTTTTTTCTTTGAAAAATTTAACTTTGTTTCAATTTTTGTGCATGTTGACGAGGGCATTTGGGAAATACCGTTTTTCATTGGAATTATGGGTTGTACATTTTTCATTATTTGACATCCTAGAAACAAAACTCCTTTGATGTGTTGGTGGTTGATTCATGCGTCTATTGTTAAATTGATTATGTTAGGTCTTGTTGGACTTTAATTTGTGTGGCCCTTCTGTTGTTGTTGGGTGTGTTTTGTCTATGATTGGATTTCTTGTTGTGTTTTTTGATGGTAAACTTTGTGCATATGAGAAGACTAGTGTGCCTCTTCAACAACAGCAGCTTCTGTTTAATGGGAAGGAGGTGAGGAATTCTGATAAGTTGAGTGCCCTTGGTGTTAAGGATGATGATTTGCTGATGATGGTGTCTGGTACTGGCGCCGCCTCTAGGTATTGATCGACCTTTCATTTATTTAAGTTGCATTTTTGAGACAATCAAGGGGCAAATACATGATGGAAATTTAGAATTTGAAGAACTGCGAGATTCTATTTTACTTGACTATGAATGTATACTTATGTTGGTTTAATAATTCGATAGTGATATAGTTTGTAGAGTCTCTGCCAGTTTTTTGTTCTATGATAGGTAAAAATCTGGGTTGTAGTCAGCTTACTCCATACTCCTTCCATTTTGACTAGAGTCTAATCATGTGTCTGCCCTAACATTTTACTCACTAATGTGTTGTTTAATAAATTAAACTTAATCGAGTTCCATTTGTAAAATTTAAGAGTTTATGGATAAGCATAAGTAAGAAAATCAAGTGATACTACTGCAAATGAGGTAGTGGAAGTGTGGAAGATGATTAGTGGGTATACCACTTCAAAGGAGACTTATTATTTCTACAATTTGATATATTTCTCTCATTTGCTCACTATTCTTGTCGTATGGATAATTAATGTGAAAATAGTAAAATAACGAAGAGATAAGCTATTCCATGCTATAGAATTGTTGGGTTATTGAGCACATGATGCATCTCCTTTTATGTATTCTATATCAACTTTTGTTTCGTTGAAACATAAAGTATCACTATCTTTATATACTAATTGTAATACATTTCAATTATTTCAGTGGATCTACCAATGATTTGAGTTTGAATACTGATGGATCGGCTGTCAACCCTGGTGCTTTCCAGCAGCACATAAGACGAGATTCTAATTTGATGGGTCAGCTCTTTCAGGTAAGTTGTTTGTTGTATTACTTAGTAATCACATTCATTATCAAGATGTGATGTATGTACATGTTATGTTATTCTCATGCTTAATAAAATAAAATTTCTTAACTTCCTGATCAATTAGTGATTTACATGTAAATTAGTTTAACTATTTCATGTTTTGGTTATTTCAATCACTTTTTATGTATATTTTGGTTCTTTTCTTTTGTGATCGGCTATATTACAACCTTCTATATAATGGAAAATACAGAGTGATCCAGAGTTGGCACAAGCCATTTTAGGGAATGATCTGAATAGATTGCAGGAAGTTTTACGTATGCGTCATCACCAAAGAGATGAATTAAAGCGTCAGAAAGAAGAAGAGCTTGTAAGTAGACTGTACGATCATTATTGTTTCATTACATTTGTCAAGAGTTTAAGTTAGATTGTATCATGACAAGATGCCTTATTTCTAATGTTTGGAGATTTTCAATTTTATTCCTTGTGCTTTTCCATGACTTTACTCCAAAATTTATTTGACTTCTTTTTGGTAGGCTCTTCTTTATGCTGATCCTTTTGATGTTGAAGCACAAAAGAAGATTGAAGCTGCCATCCGCCAGGTCAGTATTTTTTTTTTTTAATTAGAGAGAAAATAACTCAAGTCTCTAGTAGATTGACTTTTGATGCATGCATTTACTATAGCGTGTTAAGATATCAATTTCCAATTGTGCTTGGAATTTTCCTGGCACTACCATGTACTGCTCATGTAATTTAGTTACACATTTGGTTTAGCTAAAATTTGGAAAAAACTAATCTGTTCCATTTCAGAATCTCCTTCAGGAAGCTGCAAAATAAAACTATTATTTCCTCAAAATTAACCAAATTCAAACCTACACTAACACTATGTTTGTTTTGAGACAAACGGGGGTGGAAAGGCTTAGAGTGGGTGAAAATAAAATAGACTGAGTATTTCACCAGTTTGGTTCAACGTGGAAGGTGATAAATAATGAATCTGGGACTTACAGGTGCTATTGCTTCATAATACAGATGAGACTTTCATTTGTCATTGAGAGAGAAAAAATGTGAAGAAGACAAATTTTCCCACCTCTGCATCTCTTTTCACTTTATGTTTCTCCGTAATTATGTTTCCTTCTTGCTGCCTTTGCTTCCGGCGTTCTTTTCCATTGCTTCTTCACCTGGTTTCTCTGTCACTCCACCTACACCCCTTCCTACCGCCATATTTCTTGCAACTCTTCCCTTTCCACATCTTTCCACACTGGTGCTTGCACCAATTGCTTCACCCACCATCTCCCAACACTGCCAATGACATCTAGCTCTCTTCCTTAAAAATTTGTTACTAGAGCCTCCGTCCTTTAACACTGCTCTCGTTTCTGTTTTTCTAGTGCTATATAATCTTCATTATTTGTATACATGAGAATATTATATTTACTTTAATGTCAGAGGTTGTTTTAATACTACATACAATCATTACTACATGGAATACTATTGTATCTATTTATGGATTTTAAATCTATGTCAAATTGATTGTCAAAATACAACAAGAAACTGGTGGGCAGTTTTGACTGGTGGTATCAGGTGCTGTTCCACTCTGCTATAATGTGCAATTTAAAACCCTGGTTGCAATATGGTGATGGTGAATTAAAGAACTTTGAAACTATCTAAGTAAGTCGGTCATGATATTGTGGATTTGTTACTCAATTACTACGAGGTTAAAACTACTAGTGCTGTAGCACATTAAATAAATTACTATAAGCGTAAATATATCTTTATATAAAATTTCTGTCTTATGAATCTTTATTTAACCTGTTTGTATATGATAAGTTCTTGGCTGAAGACTGACATTACCTTGTAAAATTAAATTTGTTAAATTTTGTAAATTTGTGCTTGTTTATGCTATGTGCAAATGGACAAATATTTGGTCATTCTCATTTTCTATTAAATTACCATGTTATGTGCAACCTATTACTTGTCTTCAAAAGTGTCGATTGTAATCATTGATCTTGTCTTTGGCACCCCTCTTCCTGGGTAACAATACCATGTTTGGTTTGTCTAATTTTACAGAGAGGGATTGATGAAAATTGGGCAGCTGCATTAGAACATAATCCTGAAGCTTTTGCTAGAGTGGTACGTATTATTTTTTTAGCAGTTGTATTTTCAATGCTAATATCTTTTTTTGTTTGTCATAATTTTGTCCAATATGGAATATTTCAGGTCATGTTGTATGTTGATATGGAGGTTAATGGTGTCCCATTGAAGGTGAGTGAGACAGTTAGTAATTTGTTTTTTCAAGTTTAGGTTCAAACCACACTGAATATATGCTTTCAATTATTAATGGCTATAATATGAAATGGAACATGCATCAATTAGATTCTCACTTTGTTTCAGGCATTTGTTGATAGTGGAGCCCAGTCTACCATTATATCAAAAAGCTGTGCTGAGCGTTGTGGGTATGATAAATTTATTTGACTGAAATTTTATTCCAAGATATCTATGATACTATGTAAGGATTAAATTTATTAGTAGCACATCCGCTTCTCTATGAAGTTACTCATACATATCTTGATAAATATGTTATTTAGGAAGTAAATTCATCTTAGTTGCTTGTGTATCAATGTTATGCTCTTATGTAAATTATAAATTCTTGAATGGAATGAATATTTTCCACTGATATTCATAGGCATATTTAAATTGTTTTTATTTAAGTAAATCCTAAGTAAAAAATACAATTCAGATTTACTCCCTTCTTTCAACTTTTCCTTCCAGCATACATAAACCAGGTAGTTCAAGAAAAGAATTGAAAATAGCAAGAATGCAGGAATGTAAGGAATATTATGTATAATCATATATTTGTCTGCATACAGAACAGAAGAGTCTGAAGTATGATTTTAGAATTTGATGTTTTTTAACTAGTGAATAATGCAAGGACAACAAGAAAGAAACCGGCTGTAGGTGCAAGATAAGTTCATGAATGACTTTTGGGGATGACTAGTGTTGCTTAAATATGGTAGAGAGAAATTAAAGATTTTTTTGTGAGCCTTATGGATTTATTCATTTTCAGTCTCAACAAAGGGTTATCTCATCTTGTCCACACAGCCTGGCTTTCCAATTTTCTGATCTAATTTCAAGTTCCTATAAAATTGCTTTTGTTTTGAAGTTTCATCTAAATACTCTTTTTAGTTTGTGAGCCTTTGATGGTCTCTCACTCTCTCTGGTTTGATTGGTTATTGAAATGAATGATGTGTTCTTACTCTTATGTATTTATAGATATTAGTTATTCATAAGTTGCCAGATTGAAGATGTGATTGTTTTCAACGGTCATGTTGTTTTCAGATTGCTCAGACTTTTAGATCAGCGATACAAAGGGATTGCTCATGGAGTGGGCCAGTCAGAAATATTGGGTCGTATTCATGTAGCTCCAATCAAGGTATTGTTTTAACAGATCTTGTGGATAATTTTGTGCTGCTGAAGTTGTGGGTATCTTATTGCATACTGGCTGGTATTGGTAATAATGATAATATATTTTCTCTTGTTTATGCGGACATCTGATTTGAAGATCAATTATATTTGGTATTGTATTATTTCATTAGGTAGAAAATTTAACTGAAATATAAAGCTATTGTTTGGTATTATACCTTGATTCAAATTGTATTGATATTTTACTGAGAAGCATTTTTGTTGTTTGTGATTTTAATTTTAGCAAAGGTAGTTATCTTTTTCTGCCTTCCTTCGGAATCTCATTCTCTTGTTTCATTTATTTTAATGTGGTTTTCATAACGGTTAAATGATTGGAGAAATGAGATGCAATTTAGTCATGAGCAAGTGTCCATTTTTCCCAGTTTTCTTATTTGTCGTTTCTACTTGTGGTCCTGTGTACATTATTGTTTTGATGAGATCTCTCCTCAGTCCTATTATGTCACCGAAGCATGGATGTTTGAGTCTTTTATGAAGCAATAATTCCAATTCCGTTTTAATCCTTCAAGATTGATTTAATTTTATTTGCATTGTATGATAACCATTCTCTTGCAGTATATTTTTGTGTCTATTTTACGTTTTACTCCAACGTCTATCTTGTGTATGTATTTTCCTTTAGATTGGGAGTATATTTTACCCTTGCTCATTCTTGGTTATGAAGCAATAATTCCAATTCTGTTTTAATCCTTCAAGATTGATTTAATTTTATTTGCATTGTATGACAACCATTCTCTTGCAGTATATTTTTTTGTCTATGTTATGTTTTACTCCAACTTCTATCTTGTGTATGTATTTTCCTTTAGATTGGGAGTATATTTTACCCTTGCTCATTCTTGGTGCTGGACTCTCCGAATATGGAGTTCCTCTTTGGACTGGATATGCTCCGAAAACACCAGGTACCATTCTCGGTTTCACACTTTGATATCATTGCTTTCAGTAGTTACTCTAAGCTGCTATTCTTATAGCTGTGGATCTTGTCTGCAGTGTATAATTGATTTGAAAGAAAGTGTTTTGCGGGTTGGTGGAGGAGAAGTTTCTGTGCCATTTTTGCAAGGTTGGTTTTGTAATCTGTGAATTTAAAAATGACCACTTTTTTCTTTGTACGTTTGCATAGTTAATTCTCTTTTCAACTCAATCCTTCACAGATTATAATATATCCATATATATATATTGACCATATTGGTTGTCATGTTCAGAGAAAGACATACCATCTCGGCTTTTAGACGAGGAGAAGTATGCTAAGGAAGCTTCTGGCTCTGGTGTTGAAGTAAGTGTACTTTTGATTATAAGTTTTTCTTTAAGCAACCAAGTAATGCTTTAATCTGCTCCTAAGTATCTAATGCTGTCATTATTCTTAATCTTTTTGATAATTATGTTTTAATAACTGAGAAGAACAAAATACCTTGGATTCAAAATGGATCTTGAGGTACTATTTCTGCGAGATCCTTCATACCATAATTGAAGGATCAATAAAAAATAGCATGTAATGAAAGTATCCCTGGGCTGTGTATTTTTGGCACATTTTGTTATATCTTGTGGTTTCCAGACCAAGGTTTTATGTAGTATTATTAATTTTTTGCCTGCAATAAAAAAAGGGACATGTTCAATAAGTAGGATTTTAGTTGTTCATATTATTAGGTTTATTTTACTTTGCATATATCAAATTTCTTATTGCCAAATTAATCAATGGGCCAATGCTTTAAATTATTAATTGGGGATAATCTTAACTGATAATAAGTGCATAGTAGTTGAAAGTTAATCACATTCCCTGTATATGTGAACACCAAAACATTGTTGGGTCTATTAAAAGTTCAAATCTGCATTACTGTTGTCAAGTGCACATATGTAGTCATAAATTATTGTGGCTTTTCTGGATTGCTTTGTCATTCTGTTTTGATTAAGACAATGACAGTTATTTTTTTTACACCCAGATTACATCAGGAAGCAATAATCCATCAACAGGAGGCCACCCTTCTGGTTAGTTATGAAGATTTTTTAAACTTCTGCGATGGGAAAAACCATTTTATATGTTTAAAGCATAAAATTTCATTTTTGTATTTGTCCACTTAAAGCTAGCTTTTTTAGCTCGCAAACTCTTTACTTCTATGAAATGTTGATGACGTAGTAAATTGTTTTGCAGTTGTCCATAAAATTTAGTTCCTTTTAACTCCATATCAAATTTCAAATTTCCAAACTAATCAATAGAGCCAATATCAATAACATACTTATTTTGTTTCTACTTATTTTTCAGGAGGAGCTTCTGGTAACAGAGCTAAGGTATGGTTTCAATTATTTATGTTTCAGTTTTGTACTTTGTCCTTTTTCACAAGTGTACTAAACTGTATGGATATGAACGTTGGCTTTCGTTCCCTTCACATGGCAGAATAAATTTAAAGTAAACTCTCTAAATGGCTCCTTTGGGATTAACTAGTCATGCAATTAGTTTTAAATATTTCCCCACCAAACTAGCCCCTTGAAGATCTAAATCATATATTTATCCTTATAGGGGTCTAGAACTGGTGAAACTTAGACAAATTTTGTAAATGTGTTGTATTTTTGAAAGATTTTTTTAAAGAAATCTTTGGAGGACAAGTGGAGGATTTACTCAAAATGGGAAATATTTATTATTGTTGATGTACTAGTCTACAATGCAAAATGTGGTGTGTTATGTATAGCATCTCAAGAACATGATAAACAACAAGGCAAACAACTAATTAACAACATACTGTGTGTGGTTGAAAATAAGGTTAAAATGCAGTGTCAAGTTTTCAAGTGTTCAAACTTTGCTCTAATTACTTTTTTTTTTTTTTTTTTTTTCATTCTAACTACATTCATGACAAGTACAGGTTGGATCATGTTTGATGTCTGTCTGATGTAGTCATATATATGGTTGTAGGAATCTGAATTTGAAGCCAAAGTTGCAAAGCTTGTTGAATTGGGGTTTGAAAGAAATGCAGTTGTAGAAGCTCTTCAATTATTCAATGGCAATGAGGAACAAGCTGCAGGCTTTCTTTTTGGGGGCTAGAGAGAACATTTGTTTTGGAAATAGATTGATTTGTTACTTTAAACAATTTTTACTAGTCAATTCAATTACAAATTCTAAAAACTAAATTGTAGACGTGATGGCATTTATTGTGAATTGTTCATTCTGCAAGGAATTTTTCTATTTAATTGGAAAACCATTTTATTGTCTCTTAATGTGTGTATTATGTAACCCTTTTACAGAGGCTGAAGAAGTCTTATTTATGTTGTCTCGTCTAATTTAGTAAGAAACATTCATATTTTGTCTCCATCTTTTTAAACCAACTAGATAAATTTCTGCTTTTCCTTTTTACTAAATACATTGGAAATTATCTTCTCAAGATTTTGAACCTTTTAACTACAAATAACCCTTAACTTCTAGTCATTTTTTTTATTAACTCCTTCGTACTAGTTTGATCATCTATGATAGAGTTTGATTGTGTTGCTAGTATTTTATATTATGAAATTGACATGATAACTATTTTTGAATAGTATTTTATATTATGAAATTGACATGATAACTATTTTTAATATATAACTTATATTGTAACTATGAATAAATATTTTTGAATATATTGTATTTTGGATGTATCTAAATAATCGATAATATAACTTATTGTGATAGAATTATTTTTAAATATCCATAATTAAAAAAATTTTAAAAAGAAAGAGATTGAAAAGGATAAACAATTAATCTATGAGATTGTGTTGACAATCTGTCAATTAAATTCCTTAAAAATATGAACAATAAAAATGGAGCATTACCTGGTAAACAACTCTAGCACATTTAAAGGCACTTTAATTAATTCAATTTAATATAATAGATATTTATTTAACACTCAATGTTTCACACTCCAGCTAAAAATAATTATCTGTAACTATTTATTATCTTAGTTATTTTTATTATATATAATATCTTTTACTGGTTATAAAAACTTCTACAAGCTATTTAAAATTTTAAAATATTTTGGTAAAATTTAAAAATCACCCCTAAGTAAGAGGGTTTAAATCTTCATTTTAACGACTCGTCTAATTCAATTCCTTGTTAGGTTTAGCTCCTCTACACTAAACTAAAGAGAGAAAAATTCTCGCAATTTTCAAAAAGAGACTAAAAAAACAGCCATTTCAAGACGGGTAATATATACTTATACTGAAGACAATGATTGTTGTAACTAGAGACGAATTTTTGTGTAACCATTAATTACTAAAGATAGATATCACAAAATCATCACAGGAAAAATTTCAAAGCTCTACTACACTCACAACATATATAGCTGAATTGAATGATGCAACTTCATCACAATAAATCATAGAAAAATCTAAGGGAGCAAAAAAAGAATGATCCTGTAATGGCATGATCAGAAGAACATCAAAACCTTTCTGCCAATCTAGCAGTAACTGCTCTTAGTTTCGAATACACCTTTCCTGCAGGTGATCCAAGAATCAGGCTACAAAGAGAATCCCTGGCAATCTTTATGTTGGCAAAAGATCCCAATATGTGAATTTTGGTGTCGGCAATCACGATTCTTGTCTTTGACGCGTTCTCGATTGCAAACTTTGTTTTACCACCTTTACCAGACAACCTTCCAATAGCTCGAGACAGGTGATCGCCTCTAAGTGTTTTAACATCCTTGATCTCAAAGGACTCAATGTACAGCTCATCCAGACGCAGAAGAGCAATGGCATCTATGACATCAAAACCCAAGGTAAAAGCATGGACAAAATCAGCACATTTTTGCAGGTTACTTATATCAGGTGTATCAGCCCTTGTCTTCAGCTCAACTCTACGAGCCTTCAGATTCATACGCACATCAATTTTCATTTGTTCATATATGGGGGTATAGATATCCATCCAAGCTTTCTTGAGAGGGGTATATCGATGAGGTGGAACATTCACCTTGCGGAACTGAACCTGTCCATCAGACATCTCATGAGGCTTCAAAGGCTCAAACTTTGGCTTTGGTGGCAAAAGTTTGGCTTCAGATGGGACAGTCTCAATTTCCATGGAGGAAGCTGCCTGATTTGACTCCATTCTGCAACTGTTCAGGTAAACGTATAACTTCAATTTGAATAAGCTAAATCAATATCTCCAGCTCTAGATATGAATTATGAGAACATAATCATCAATCACAAATAGTGGCACCGTAAGGCTGGTCCAGAAACACTATAAAGGGATGGTACAACGGCTGCTAGTTGAAAGTTTATAAATCCAATATAAAGATTGCCTGGAAGCAGAATCAACCTAGTGAACACACACAAGACAAGTAGAGGCTTGCTACTCATTATGACAGAGGCAGGTTAAATATTTATACAAAACTTTTGCAAATGTGAATTTGAACTTGTCCAGATGTTAACAATGTAATTTTACCTTTTTATTGTTGAGAAATTTATCCAAACAAGACCCAAATCCCATGCCTAAAATTTATGTTTCAAAAAGAAAACTGAAATCCTGAAAATAACTATGATGAGCAGTTGAAAGAGCTGCAATTTCCCGGTATAAAACCTTTTTATTAACTATAATAAGCAGAGCAGTCCAAAACAGAACAAATTCCAGACTTTGCAAGAAGTCACAAGTCAATCATAGAGCACTTTCAGTTCCTTTTCAAATCCTTCACAATTCCATATGAGAAAACATAGAATAAGAAAAACATCTTCCTCCACTTCGCTGCATAATTCCCAACTTCATGGTACACTTGGAGCAGTTAAATTTTTTTGTGCGAAGTTTTGGCAAATTTGAGTGAATAAAAAACACCAGATTAATATTAGTAGATTAGTTGACACAGAAATATACGTAAAGTGCACAAACTAAAAATTTAGGTGCATTGAATGTTAAAAGAAATCCATTGTTTCAAAACCTGGCTTTTAAAATCGGCTTATACAACAGGCCGTGCACAACCACCAAATTTTAGAATTCAAAAACATTATTATGACTCTGGAACAATCACCAATCAAAATAGCTATCAGAACAAACATTGGAACAAAAAGGAAGGCTTACCCGCTACCCCAATACGGAGACGAAGGCGTGAGAGCTGCGGCGGAGACGGAGGTGCGATGTGCGACGACTATGCTTACGACACACGAGATGGACGAGCTGGCTGGCGGCGCGGGCTGAATGAATGGAGAAAGAGTTTTAGGGCAGGCGCGGCGGGAAGAGAAGCTAGGGTTTTCTTTTTTTATTTTAATTCATGCAAAACATAAATTGGGCTATTGGGCTAACACTGTGGCTATTGGGCTAAATGGGTAGCTTAAATAAACTAGTTATTAGTTTTAAATCTAATATGACCTTAATCATGTTACTCCAAATATTCATTTAAATCCATTTTGACATTAGTTTATCTCAAATCTTATTTCAATTCAGCTCATAAAAAATAAAATAATAATAATAAAATTATTTATTTTATAAAATTAATCTATATTAATAAGTTAGTTAAAGAATTTTGAATACATTAGTATTTAGTTTCAATTGTATTTGAATATTATTTTTGTTAGTATTAGAAAAATTAAATCTATAAAATAATATAATAAAATTAGTTTTTAAATTTTATTATACCTTTCTTATACTGTTATTAAATATTACATTTATCAAACAAATAAAATTTTATACCATAAATTAGTTTTAAAATAATTATTATAAACAATTATCTTATTTGATTTTTTTTGTTGGTGTTGATAAAATTGTTTATAATAATAAGATGATGAAAAATCCTTTTTAAAAATATATAATAACACTATAAATAAAAAAATATATATATTATAGTATATATAATCTTCATCTTATAGAGCCTATTTTTAAATTGAATTAATTATTTCATTATTTTTAAGAAAAACTATATTTAGTTAAATATGATAGTTACATAGGTTTTTAATTTTATATCTTTCGTTAAATTTGATTTGAAAAATCAATTAATTTTTAAACTTAAAAATTTATAAATTTATTCTTTTATAATTTTATGACAATAAAAATTGTTATTAATATTAAATTTAAATATATAAAACTAAAATAACATATTATATAAATTTATTCATTTTATTAGTTTTGTGATGGTAAAATCACTAAGAATGAAATTTTCGTTTAAAGAAAAGCTAATATCACATGTTTTTAAGAGTTAAAGGATTTAATTTATTATCTTAAGAATGAAATTTATTAATTGTGTTTAACATATTTATCATACAATTATTTCTTTTTTAGAATGATCCAAAATTGGTTTGTTTTTGTTATCGATAGTAATTACTGAAAATTCATAAAATCTAATGCTTTCTTTTAAGACAAACTTATGCATAGAGATATATATTGATTAATACGATTGCTTCTTCTTTTTTCTTTGATTATTAAGCAAACATATGAAATTTTATGACAAATAACAAATAAAATTATATTATAAATACTCAAAATATGTTTAAACCACTTTTGGTCTGTCACATATAAAATTTATGTCATTTTAATGAGAAATAATAACAACATATTCTTGTGCATATGAATGTGTTAATTTTTGTTCATAAATTGAATAAAATGATCAGGTCTAATTTTTTTTCACAAATTCTAAAAATACTGTTTAGTTCTTATGAATCTTAATTGGTTTTGCTCATTTTAAATTTTAATATTAGCTGATTCTTATAAATTAATAAGGTTATATATCAATAAGTTTATGTTTCATTATGTAGTATGTTTATATAAAAAAATACTAAAAATAAAGCAACCACAATTAAAAAAATCATCTTAAATTAGAACACTGAAATTTCACAGATAACAAGTCTGATTTGTAAAATAAGTACATAAGATAATTTTGTTTTATTATAAAAAAAATGTCGGTAATCATTATACCATTAAAATATTTTTCTTGCAATGCTAAATAATAAAAGAAAAAGTAAAGTTAGGTCCATTAATTAATTTTCTTATCATCTTATAAAAAATAGATATATTTAATCTCTTGAAAATGTAAAATACCTTAAATACTTATCACATAGATCAATTGAGAAGACTAATAAGAAAAGATTATAAGAAAATTTAGAATCATGTTAAATGAAACTACAATTAGTAGTTGAAAAATACAAGAGAAAACTAAACTATTGTGTCGCCATCGAACGATACGTTTTCCTAATGAAAACAAAATCATCCAGTGACAGGGCTACATATCATAGTACACTTGCAGCAACAAACAGAAGATCCTCGTAATATTCCATATTCTTTCCGAAGTTTCTAGCATAAAGCATAATGCGCTTGCTTGTAAACTTCACTGTTCCTTCAGTTTTTTCTTCCAAGTTCAAACTTGTAGAGAATAAGTCTTGGATAGTTGGATTGATATTGATAACCTGCCCTTAAGAATTTTTGTTAAGAGGTGAGTAGTTCATCAGCTTTTGTGTTATATTGTTAGACCTTCTTGAAAGTTAAGAACACTGAATGCTTTGTTGTTTTAGTTTCATGTGTTATGCTGAATGGCTTTGGTTTTGATGCTATGGTTAAGTTCTGTGAACTCTAAGGAATCTGTGTTTCTTTGTGTTGCATGTTATGTGAGCAAAACTTGGTGGTCCACATTTGCAGTTTCCATGTCCTTTTGAGGGCAGAACAAATACTGTTTTAAATGGAAGAGGGTATCTTTCTTCTTAGCCATTATAGGTATTGGGAGACAATGGAATGGTTTTTCTTACCATGGATATGAAGTGACCTTTCTTTCTCCTTCATGCGTGATATTAAACTGATATGTAAAAAGAGTCATTTTATCATCATTTCAATATTCCTTTTAATATAAAGTTGACAAGAAGTGGAGAATATAAATAAAGAATCCAAGATAACTTAAAAAAATGAATCACTGATTATTTGAAAAGAGAAAATTCACTTCCTATGATTTCCATGCTTCCAGAGCTATTTGTTTTCCTTTGTATTGTCTGCTAGTGAATGCTACCCCCTATGGGAATACTGCAAAAACACTAGGAAACCTCTGGATTTATGTTACATGAACATGACTACTCATGATTGAGAGAAATAGAGTTCTGTTACATGTTTGGTTTCACGTCTCAGACTTGTTTTTTCATGTATTCAGAACTTAGTAGTTATAACTTCCATGTCTAAGAAGTGATGTCTTTCTTATAATCATGTTTCCAAACACATATTTAATCAAACTATCAAAGTGTTACGTCCTTCTCTCTTATATATCATTTTGCAATGTAACATATGAATTTGGATCACTATGTTGAGAGGCACAACGATATGGTATGTGATCAGTTGATTTTGGTGATAAATAAGCTCATGTTTTGACTAGTTTTCCTAGGCATACCAATTTATATTGTACCTCTAAACATAGTGCTCCAAATTCTTTATGATAAACAGCGTGTTAACTAACTTCTCCGTTGTGGCCAATCTGGCTTATCTGAAAACTATGATAAGCCAAGTTGAAAGAGTGCTATGTTGTTCTGAAACTCAACAATATGAGCTCAGTCCATTGCATATCAACTACTTTGGTTTAACGAAAATCAGAAGGTATCAGAGTGATTGAGACTTGGTAACCACATTTCACTTTTTTTTATATTCTTTTCACATTATGAGAAATATAAAGATTTCTCTACCTGAATAGCAGAAGACATTGTCTTAAGAGTTTTGGTCCAATCAATTTAAAAGTTTTGGATACTAGTGGATCGGTTAAATGTGCTGTCAATATTAAAAGACCGATGCTTAAATTTTGAAGACATTGGAAAATGAGTTGAAGCTCAGTGCTGGCCTTTTGTGGGAGGCATGTCTCTCTCTATCATGGAATCATCATGTCTTGCCATTTTTCTGACTTGCTTGAGTGTTTTCCCTTTCATGCTTCATCCACTGTGCTACTTTTTTATGTTGTTGAAGTATGAAATAAAAGGAGAAAATTACATTCAAATTGAAAAGAACAATGGCATGCATGGATATTAAAATAAGAATCACAATTATTAAATGATTATTACTAATATGTATTTAATCATTGAGCGCATTCGAATCTGCATACTTAAAACCCTTCATCTCAATTTATCTCATGCCTGTTAAAGGAGGTGTCCCAAAATCATAAACATTAATCTTTTTTCTTGTAATAATGATGTTCATGTTTAATTCATAGAAATAGAATATGATATGTAAATTCTAAAATGTAAAATTATCTAAAACAAGAAAATAAAATGCAGCAATCAAGTATCTTCGCAATTCAGAACCATATGCATTCATGAATATATATTCTTTTTCCTTTCATATGATGTGCATTTTCTGTAAACAATAATAATTTGTGGTTTACATTTGAAGACCACAACATAACAATGTAGATAAAAACATAAAAAAATCCATCTGAGCGAAAGAATTAGGTTCGTCAAAACAAATCCTGCACAACAAATTGAAACAACCTATTTCTTGAGTATGTTGAATAACAACATGCCTTCCTGTACTTGTCTGCAGTAGCTATATCTTCAGAATCCTTTCCAAGCATCAAGAACTTCATGGAAGACTTCAGCAATCAGATCCCTATCTGCGTTATGCAAGAAGGTATTGAAATCATCCCGAATTTCATATATTTTGCCAAACTTCACAAGATACCGGATGCAACTCATCTTCAGTTTCATCAACTGATATAGAGATGCATTTTGGAGCCTCTCAAGTACATTTTTTGTGTCAATGTCTTCAAGAAGACTCTCATGGCACGCATCTCTTAAATCTGATATGTCATACTTGTCAGCTGCATGAAGAAGGGCCAACCTATGAATCATGAACTCTTCATGTTTGATGATTCCATAGAGATAATTGAGAAAAGCCTGGCATGATTCGAGTGACATGTCTGAGATGTTTATGGTTGACAACTCTTTCTCCTGAAGATTATGTGAAAACATGCTGCGGAATACAGGTGATCTGGCAGCAAGAACAGCTCTGTGAGCTCCTATACTTCCATCAGAAGCATTGATGGTGATGTCAGTGTGAATTCCTTCTGTTAGCATTCTACCAAGAGATTCAATGGCATTTGCATTTGATCTTAGCTGAGTAAACCCTTCTGCCCAAATGGAACAAGGTTCTCCACCCTGCATTGAAAAATAACATTCCAAAGAAGGTTAGGTATATATTTGTATCCTTAAATTGGTGTACCAGATTCAATCAGACATTTAAATGTTTTAATGTTATAATTAATGTGATAGTAAAGCCCCATCAGTGATTGCTTTGTACAATCATATAATTTAAAGGTTATCTAAATAGTGATTTTTTATTGTTTGAAGTATAGAGATGTTTACAGAATAGTGTATAATAATTAAACTCTACTTTGTAAGTACTAATCCATTGTCTGAATTAATGATTTTCCATCATGGATGCACAAAGGTTTTAGTTAAGTGCTTATGATTATACCTGTGGATTACAAAATCCTGTTAGTACACTAAATTGATTTAGCTAGGCTGTCGCATTCCAATTCCTCAAAATAATCATCATTTGCAATGAACACTAAAGAGAATCATACTTGAAGAGATGTATATTTAGAACATACGTTTGGCGATGCAGTCTTCAAATCCAGAAACTCAACGTCAATAATGAATTTCCCAGTTAGTGGAACCTCAATTGCCCAAATAAAATCGTCGTTGTTCTTTAACAATTTGTCCTTTATTTCTGCACAATATAAAAAAATTAGATATATGCATATATACTCAGTCAACATGAAAAAGGAACTGTCAACCAAATGGACTGATTTTCACAGCAAAACAGTTTTGAGAAATTGTAAAGATGCTAACAAAGTGGCATAAGATAAGCCATACCATCTTCTCTTTGCAATTATCATGCACTTTGTACCAAGACCAACAACATCATACTAATACATGAAAGAATCTCAGATTATTGATTATTCTCTATCCAAAAAGAAAAAGTAAAATGAACCACAACAAAGAAAAAAAAAAAAAAGGAGAAAAAGTTAAGAAGAAACTCAGACCTGGATGTGTGATGGCCTTGCGATCTCCAACAGAACTAACAACCCGAATGATGAAAGATGCAATTGGAGGGTTGTCTCTTGTAAGATTGGATATTTCTGGGAACAATTTAACAAAAAAAAGCCTGTTTTTCTCCACTGACAAATGCCTTCAATTCAAACCAAAAACAAAAATCAAACCACACTCTTTGCTCCAATTTGATACAAAATCAACAAACAAAATCTAAAACAACGGTCTTAAAATTTTAGCGCAAAAAACAAAATTTCTTAGAAACCAAACACTTCATCCCACACCAAAACCAACTAAACCACGTGGGGTGTTGCATAATTTTCTTATCAAACAACACAACCCCACTAGTGAGTGTCATGTTTCCCTGTCCTGTTTCCTATGTAATGGTTCTCTTTAACTGAAACACGATCACTTTCTTTTTTTAACACACGGATAAATAAACATATACATAGATAGAGAAATAGATGTGTAGAGAGATACCAATTCCACTTTCCGATCTTGAAAGGATCGGATTTTCGGTAAGTGCAAGAAGCCGAGTTTTCGATTCTCCATTGAGCAAGGCGTGGTGTGGTTTCGACTCTGTATGCAGAATCGCTCATCCTATCAGCAAAAGCAAGTGCTGTGGTGATTTCATGGATGCAATCCAAAATACCCTCCAACAAAAACTCTCCGGGCTTTCCCAGGTTGACTCTTTCTTCTCCAGCTCACTTCACTCTTCATATGAATATCCTCTATTTCCTCCCTCTGTTTCGCTCACTCTGTTTGTCCCCTGTTTGTTTTTTCTTTTATTTATTTCAAACTAGCCCAAAATATCAGAAAGTCTTCAACAACATTCACTCTGGCTTTGATTAGATTGCAATTTCTTTCAGAGGTTTCGGACACGCAAGGATTTTGGTGTAGCTTTTACCTTTGATTTGGAGATTAAAAGAAATAAAATATTCATAGAAAGAGCGAGTGATTTGTACTTTTATTGGTATGGGATGGTGATGGCCTCTGATGACAAATGTGTATTGGGTGGTTTGTTTTAGACATGTCTAAGTCTTAACATTATATATTGCTTAGATCATTGGGGATGCAGATGGTGTACGTGTTAGATTTTATGTTGATTCAGAATGGCCTTGTGCTTGGATCATGTGTGAACCTACTTTAAGGGGAAAAGAATTTTGTAATTTTTGGTGCTTTGAAGCAAAGTATCTGTTCCTTCCAAATTTCACCAATTTCTCTAAACCACATTCTTGGATTGTGGATGCAACATACTTTGCTCACAAATCAGACTTCATCTCTTAGATTATTAATGTAGTAAAAACATTGTTATATATATTCTTCATTACTACCACTGCAAGTTAATGACATCAATAAAAATGGCTTTGAAACCATTAATTATCAGTGAGATTCATTTATAAATTATAATACACTTCATGATAGAAAAATGAGTGAAAAAATATTTAAAACAGTGTAACACTTGGACTTATCCCCCAAAGTATATTTTGATGGCATTGCCCCAATGGATCAACCTATGATTCTCTCTCCACGTGTCCTAAGGTGCAACCTTGGTCTTGTGATATTTAACTTTATGTGACCCTGATGCTGATATAGCCAATATTGTGGCATGCTTCATTTCGTCACTTTAACAGTGTCTTGCATCAGTGTAGGACGTTGGTTGGTTATGCTCAGTTCCGGTTCAGCTGCAAATTGCAAAATTTTCTTATGAAATGGGCCAGACTCTGTTGTAATGAGTCCACTGAAAAATCCATTTTATTCACATCTTCCCATACCCTTTTTTGTGCTGTTGCAAGTGGACCTGTGACTCACTTGCAAGTTGACCTTGGTGCATGCAACATTAACTTAATCCAAATATAGTTCAACTAAAGTTGAATTTTAGGTCTAGCTCATAAACTCAGGAGGGAAGAAAAAGAAATGGAAAATTAGGTGCACTTGTGCCTAGCTACCATTCAAACTCAGTTTAAGCATTCATAATTAAGAGTTTAACAAGTTTTCATATATGTTTGTGTGGAGGGTCAGTTGTAACTAAATGAGTAGGTGAAGATTGTTCACTCCAATAATTTTTCAGTAAATGATTCTCTTCTTTACCTTTCATTGGGGACATCACCACATTCACATAAAAAGGTAGTGAAGCTAATCAATTATTAAACAATTCAGAATCATGCCTCTATGGTCTAAATCAATTTTCAGGTGGTACATGTATACAAAATATAATTACAGAAAGGAATTAATAGCATTTAATTATAAGTTGAGCATGTTTTGGAAATAAAAAAATTATGATTTAAACTATTTTGGGATAAAAAAACTATGAAATTTATAAAAAGAAATATGAAAAAAATAATGTCTTTGAGAATCTAAAAAAGTAGTTTATGATTTTCTTATACAAAATCTGTTTTCTTTTTTCTCTAAATGAAATTAATTCTAGGAACCAGTTTTCGTCAAACTCAAATAAAATTTATGTTTCATTATATATATATAGTTAATTATTTAAATAACTTAATTTTTGGTCATTAAAGAAACACACCCTTCATGTAAAAAAATATTAGAGACGATGTTATTATTAAAACACCTCATAATTTATCAGAGAAAAACATAAATACCCAGCTTTTGAGTCCAAGGAGAGGTTTAAATGCTGAAGAAAAGATATTCATTGCTTAGATAACACACTTAGCATCCATCAAAATTCAATAATTTGATTATTTTACAATTTCCATAATGGTGATGATTAAGTCACGCAACTTTAAGCTTTACATTCCCTCCTATCCAAGTTGATGCAGTATGATTACCCTATATAAAAAAATGGAAGGAAAATGAATTCTCTAAACAAAGTTCCATTAAATATGGCACAAGACAAAGTGTGGTGTTGACGTTGATTGAGAAAGATGGAATCTTGAGATTCAATTGGTTTTCTCTTTCATGTTCTTTACTTTTGAAGAAAGAAGAGAAGATGGTAATAAGTTGATAAAACAAAAACATAAACCTAAGGAGGCGTACGATAGAAGGCAATGAAAGAGAGAACCTTTGATGCATTCTTAGTAATTGAAACTAAACATTTTTTAATGTATGTGGTAAGTGGCCACACACCATCATTTAGAGTTGGTTACCATTAATCTTAGCCATCAAAAATGCTTTAATAGTTCTTTTAATTCACTTATCCTGCTTCATCAATGAATGTGAACATCATTCGTCTCTTCTACCAGGGTAATTAGGTTATATGTTGATCTCCACTACACTAAGTGCTTGGACAATTAGAGAGATAAAAAAATAAAATTAGAATCTCTCTTTATTCTTCATATTCTTCATGTTTCAATGCACTTTGGTTGTTTTGCTCATAATAGTCAATCATAAATGATTACCATAAAATTCATCTGCCCAACACTTACGTCTGACGCCTTAGACCAGGCCATCCTCACTTAATAATCAAATTTTCATATATAATTAAAATGTATATTTTTTTATTAATTTTAAAATATCAATTAATTAATTAATAATATCAAAGAATAACTTTCATATTTTATGTATATTTTTTCAAATAGGATCTAATATATTACTATTAAAAATTATATTAAAATACAATTTCATTTTTATATGTATAAATTAAACTTTATTTTATTATAAAATAAAAAGTTATATTTTAATACTAACATGTAATAAATTACTTGAAAAAACTTATTATAAAATAAATATTACTTTCAAAGATTAAATTGAATTTTTTATAAATATCAAATGTGTTATTTTACATTTATAATTACTGGTAAAATATATTTTTTATTTATAAAAATAGATATATTTTAAGAAATTATAAAACAAAATAAACTATGTTTGAAAACACCATTTAATTACAAATAAATATATACACGATTTCTATTTTTATACATGTTTTTTAAAAATTCATTTAAGTCTTATTTACATATATAATTTTAAGATTTTTTTATTAAAATAAGTAAATATGATTATAATGTTATATTTTTTAAACTTTATTTAGTGAAATATTACAAAATAATAAACAACATGATGAAGCACAAAATATTGTTATTATGTTACTGGAAATGGCAGTGGCACAATTTGATTTATCTGTTGTTATTTTCTCTCAACTTAAAGTCTCGGGATCATCCAACGATTAATTTTGAGGTTCATCTAATAAGGGTGCATACTAAATCTTTGTTTTCATACACATAACTCTTTTTCTTTTTTTCTTTTTTTTTTTTCTTTTTTAAGTTCAAATTGTTTCTTGTGATATATTTTTTAAGTTTAAATATGTAAATGACTCATGTTAATGAAAAAATATATTCGAACACGTAAGACATGTATTTTATACATAATTAGCACAATATATATATATATATATATATATATATATATATATATATATATATATATTTTATTATTATTTAAAAAATAATTTATTTTTAATCTTAAGTAATATATAATATATTATAAATTATGTATAATTGATTATAATTTGTTATAGTTAATTATCTAACGTAAAAATAATTGAAAAACATAAAATTTATTTTATAATTTTATTCATATTATTTTTGTATACGAGATAATATGATCTTATAGAATTTTACTCTAACAAATCAGGACTAAATAAAAGAAGTTCTAATTATACAATATTTTGTACCGCTATACTAACCTATAATTTAGCTAATCAAATATCTTTATCCCAACACTCCCCTCAAGTTGGTAAATAGATGTCATACATTCCCAACTTGTCCAATAATCTCCTAAAAATCTGACTTGTCACAGCTTTGGTAAGAATATCTGTCAGCTGATCTTCAGATCGCATATTTGGCAATTTCAGAATATTTTTATCAAGTTTTTCCTTGATAAAAAATCTATCAACCTCCACATGCTTCATCTAATCATGTTGGATAGGATTGTGAGCAATGTCGCGCGCAACTTTATTATCACAATACAACTGAATGAGACGTGTATGTGCATACCTTAAATCCTGGAGAAGTAGTCTGAGCCACAAACCTTCACAAAGTCCAAGAACCATTCCTCTAAGTTCAGCTTCTGCATTTGATCTAACTACAACTTTCTGCTTCTTGCTTTTCCATGTGACAAGATTACCTAAAGGTATCCAGAGGTTGATCGTCTATCATCAAGAGCACCTGTTCAATCTGCATCAGTATAAACCATTACATTCTTGTAGTTGGAGTTCTTCTTGAACATAATTCTTTTTCCAGAAGTACCTTTTATGTACCTTAAAATCTGTATAACATCATCCATGTGTTTTTCACCTGGATTGTGCATGAATTGACTGACCACACTAAGAGCATAAGCTAAATCTGACCTGGTGTGTGATAGATACATCAATCTCCCTACAAGTCTCTGATATATTCTCTTGTTAGTTGGAGTTTGATCTTCTTCAATGCACAACTTCAATCCTCCTTCAATTGGAGAATTTGTTGGTTTGCATGTTGTCATTCCAGTTTCTTTCAGTAAATCCAATGCATATTTTCATTGTGAGAGAAAAATACCTGACTTTGATCTTGAGACCTCAATTCCAAGAAAATACTTCAAAGGACCAAGATCCTTCATTGCGAATTCATTTGCCAAGTACTCTTTCAATGTCTTGCGTTCCTCTAGATCGTTTTCCGTAACTATCATGTCATCAACAAAGAAAATAAGAATTGTAATATTTCCTTACTTTTTCTTTAGAAACAAGGTATGATTTTGGTTACTCTGTTGATATCCAAAAACAAACATTGACTTGGTGAATCTACCAAACCATGCTCGTGACGATTATTTTAGTCTATACAATGACTTCTTCAACTTGCATACCTTCTTGTTATGTATATTTGGGATCCCACATCCTTCTGGTAGCTCCACATAAACTTCTTATGACAATTCCCCGTGTAAGAAGGCATTTTTCACATCAAATTATTGTAAGGACCAATCAAGGTTTACAACTAGAGATAATAATACTCGAATTGTACTAATTTTGGCTACGGGAGCAAACATTTCAGTATAATCTATTCCATATGCTTGTGTGTACCCCTTTGCCACTAATCTAGCTTTGAATCTCTCAATTGTGTCATCTACATTAAATTTCACAGTATACACCCATCGACATCCTACTAGTTTCTTTCCAACTGGACAATCTACCAATTCCCATATTTTATTTCTTTGTAAGGATTTCATCTCCTCATTCATAGCATCGTTCCACCTGGAATTAGCTAAAGCTTCTTGCACACTATTAGGAATAGATACAATAAATAATTGACTTATAAATGTGATATTTGAGTTAGACAAATTCTTGTTACAAATATAATTATTCATAGGGTATCTTGTCGTACTAGTGAGGTCAGGATCATAAGTAGGCTTAGGGACACCTCTAGTGATATGATCTGGCATAATTCTTTTTTCTATATTAGGTTCTTGAGGGGACGATTGGTGTAGTATATCATCAGCATCAACAGGAAAATTTTCGATCTCGACATACTCAAAATCTTCCTTATTATGTGGTTGTTGATAATCATATTGTTGCACACTTTCATCTGAAAGTGATGAAGATCTTATTGAAATACTTTGACAAAGATCTTATTGATTTGATGAAGTCAAAGATGAAGACAAATACCACTTTGAATAATAACTCTGCAAAAG